GCAGGCCTGTTTATTAATCTATTCTTAGAATAAATATAAACAGTTTACCAGGTTTCGTTGAAAGGCTTCTAGCCTCAGAAATCATATTTCTCATTTTCTAGGAATAAATGTAGATAGAAATAGATTGAGAAGCATAACAGATGACACAAGACAATGCCTTAAGAGCAGCCTGTTGCCCTTGCCATGTATGTGATATCATCACTCAATGTATTGCCTCATCGCCATGCCATCCACTGGAAACAGGACACTGAGGGTTGCAATTGGGGCAACTCAGAAAAAACAGAGAAAAACCTACTAGGTTTAGTCCATTTAAAAAAAAAAAAAAAGAAGAATCCACCAGTTTTGAAAATAAGAACAAACATTTTGCCAGTAGATTTCCTTTAAAATATTTCAATTTTGTCAAAATCTACTGTTTTGATGAATTTTGTCAAAGGCTTAAAATTCCAGTCACCTCTTACCACAAAACATTGATGGTTTTTCAATATTTTGCAGTAAAATCTTTGCTATATGCAGAGGTAGTTTTTACTCCCTTTGTTGCAGGGCAGTCAAATTTCACGGATTTGAGGTTTTCTGCTTTTACCTCTGGGATAGCTTGCAGTGGTCCAGCAGTAGCTAAACACAGTTGAGAGGATTCACTTTGACGTGTTCAAATCTTCAAGGGCAATGTGTTGGTTTTGCCCAAAAATCTAGTTGTCAGATCTCTTTGTGTGTTGGACCACGGCCTGTGCCAGAAGTTACTCTAGCCATGGACACACCCTGAAAATAGGGTGCAGGTAAACTTTGAACCTGATTTACTTTGTCAGTGGTCATATCCCGCAAATCCTAGAGGCTGCCAACACCAAGATGGTTTATGAAGTCACTGAGTAAAAATTAAGAACTTCCCAAGGGAAAAGTACAGAAAGCTCCTCCTGGAAGTCTCACTCCACTGCCCAGATGCTTTGCAGTCATGGTGCCAGGTCTAGTAGCAGCACTGAGCCTTTATTTTCCCTTCTAAGATTAACTCTATCCTTTTTCTCTATTTTGCTGATCACGTACGGAGTTTTTAGGCATGACTCTAATTTTACATGGACTTTAGGCAGTATTGTAGGATGATGTAGGATGTTTCCTTGTCAGTTTGGTTTTACCCGTTCCTAGAGCTTTTTCGGTAATGTGTCCTTATAGCCAGAATGCACTTGCACTCTGGAAACTGGTTTTCAAACAGTACCTTTGTACTCAGCAACTCTTATTTCCTCTGTGCATTGGTCATTTTATACTGCGGTTGATATTATAGCACCAACAGCTCTGGGAAAATGATCTGGATCATGCTCTGGGTTCTGCCGCTTCAGAAGATGATGGGGCTTTTGTTCCAGCTCTGCAAGAAATCTTTCTACCCAATATCATTCCGTGCGAGGACAGGCCAGTCCTGAAATAGCAGTGACAGAATTTGGCAGCCAAACCCGGGACAGCGATGTAGGGGTAGGCAGGCGCACCGCTAACCCTCAGATATTCACAGCTGCCTGTGTGCATAAGCTATGTTTTGCATGCAAGCAGGGTAAACTGGATAAATTTGATGGAGGTTACCAAGAACTTAGAGCTTACTCGAGTCATTTTTCAGAGCTGGGTAAGACACAGAACTGGCCCTTCCTGGGGGCTAGCAACTCTGTTACTGCTTGGTCCAGGTCCTCATAATGAACTAAAAAGGTGTCTGCAATCACAGAATTTCACAAACAGAACTCAGAAAAATCTGAGAATTTATTATTTCAGTGAAAAGCCTTTGTGCCCAGGAACGCTTATAACTGGATGGATGAAATGGTTCCCTTATCCTGGCCTTTTTTTCTCAGATGTAAAGTGTGGCTCCAACAAAAACCTTCCACCTCAGGATGGTTAGTTTCTTCAGCCTTACAAGCTATCCCTCTCCCCACCTGCTAGTTGTTCCTATGTGGGGCTCCTACAATGCATAATGAAGTTGTAGGGAATTTGCTTCTGCTGGTTTTAAGTTACCGGAAATGTCCTTGGTAAATACCTCACCACACTACCAGTACCAGCTTTGCAAATACACAGTCCTTCTGCACCAGGCCTGCCAAGGGAGAGCCTATGTGCAAAACACACTTGCAACATCCAAATGAACCCAGAGAATGTAGATGATTTTTCTTACTTTACTTGTCTGGTTGCATAGGTAACTTGCCTTAGAGAGGAGTGGCTACTATTGGCCATGCCATGTATATGTTTATAAAGCAAGTGTTTTGGTCCCAGTCTTTCGCTCCAAAGGAGGAGAGAAAAAATTATTAAACTTGCTATAAATCTTGGCCTGGATATAAGCCAGGAGATATTTTGGGGGATGATGCCTGGCTTGGAGGCCACTTTTACAACCACCATTTTTGAAAAACATCCCTCTGGTGGGCCACATTTCCCCACAGCAGCTATAATTTCTGAGGTTAGTCCTTGCTTCTTTCTTCCTAATGGATTCATTCTACCTCCTGTGGAAATCCATGGTGGATTTTCTAATTTGTGTGCCATAGAAATTGTTCTGTATTGCAGGTCAGAATGTGCAGAGCTCAAAATGAAAAGAGTTTGGGGGGAACGACTCTGTTCAGAAGAAGCAATGTTCAGAAAAAATAGCTACCACTAGGATTTAACCATGTGTTGCTGGTTTACGATGCCCTTGCTAAAGCAGTCGGGTGGTTACCAGTCAACTGGCTTGACTTTTCCTTATGAATTAACAAGGACTTGCCGCCTACGTAAGAAGTACATCTTGAGGAAGGTTAGGGTTGCAGTATTACAAGCCAAGCTCCTCTTCCACAGTGGGGCAGGAACCAAAATATTTCTGCAAGTCCCCTAGTTGCTAATATGTCAAAGACCATGCACTCCTGCGATTTACAGAACCGGCAGCGCCTGTGTGAGTGCCAGAAAAGCCACGTCCTGTCTCAGCTGTAACGTAGCACCCAGGTCATGACAGGCTTGAGAAGTGGGATGGCAGAAGTGTGGCCCTTGCCGCGACATCGAAGCAGACGCCTGACTTGTTTTCCCTTGAGAGACAGAGTGCTTGTGCCAGGGCGCAGCGCAGCCTCCCCTCTAACTGAGGTCAAGCTCTGTCTCTTCTCCTCTGTTCTCTCAGAAGTGGTAAACAAACACAGGGAAAAGGAAAAATATTGTTCACTCCAGAAATTTCACTTTTGAGCAAAATGAAGCCAATGCATTTTCAGCCTTTTTCACCTGACCTTTAAAGGCCAGGCAAAGAGAAGAGCAAGTTTTGGGTTTCCACTTGCTCAGCGAAGATTGCATGAAACTTATTTCTTTTAGATGGAGCCTAGCTTGTGTGCGTGAAATAGAGTAAGCTGAATAAAAAGGGGATTCAAATGAAAAATGGAAATAGCATTAAAAGCCTCTACTTATTAGATTATACAAGTTAAAGAAATAGTTGCATCCTTTTAAACAGCAAGCGAGTTTCATGGCAGAATTTTGTTGGAGCCCCAGACCTGAGGAGGGCTCAGAGCCACCATCCAGGAGGCTCCCAGCCAGGGTGGACACACGCACCCGCTCATTTCGCAGAGGACGCAGGGAGTCGCAACCCTGCAGCTTAGCAGGCCGCAGGTTCCTGCTCCTCCTCCCCACCGCCAGGCCTGATCCTAATTTTCTTTAAGATCCTACTTGGTGATTTATCTCTTCCAAGCCTTCGGTGTGTGCAAGTACTCTGCATGCAGTAACACAGAGCAAAGCACTCTCCCACCCGGTAGCGCCTGGAGGACCGAGCTCGCGCGTCCTCTGGTCCTGCTGGCCACCGGTGCCATGCGATGGATCGTCTCAGACTAGGCTGTGTGTTGCTGGTCTAAATGCACAGCTTATCAGTCTCATTGGGGATCATCTTCTTGACTACTGTGAGCTTGAGGCAACCCTTGTGTGGCAGCGTGGGCCACCTGGTTTGAATTTGCCTGGTAGGAGTATAGCACGTCGCTTGGACTCTGGAGCTCTTGCAAGCTGGCGTGAGCATGTTAGCTGAAACGTACCAGTTTTGTATAAGTTCTGTCTAAAATGCCACTTGTAGTTTTGCAGATGTAGCACAGCTGTTTGCACTATTACTCATGCACTTTAATGATTGCAGCAACAGGCTTTCATATTTATGCGAGCAGAATTATTATGCAGGGTCTATTAAAGGTAATGTAGATTTTTTTGCCTTTGAAACATAAAGCAGGGTCTACTTTTACAACCAGTCAGCTTCGTAGGACAGCTATTTTGTAACTGTATGAAAAACATTTTGAGCCTGACAAAATAGTAAGTCTAGGGACGATACCAGCCGGCTGCGCTGTGATAATCACATGATAGATTATGGAAACGTGTCAAACCTCGTGGTCCTCCTTTAGGCAAGGCTCTCGCTGAAGCTAATGGGAGTTCAGCTTTGTGAGGAACCACAGGAGTGCACTTTTTTAATGTTGTACAGATGTTACATGATTACAGGGAACAATGTATGTCTTGGAATAAGATGCTTTAATATTAACATCATTCTTCATTACTTTATAGATGCTGCCCTGTGTAACACAAGAAAGTTTAGTTCCCCTTGAATTAAGGGTGAACCAGTAGCATCCTATTTTCGATGCTCTTTGGAAGCTTTCAACTAAGTGTTACAGAGAAATAGCACAATAGTTGGAGTTGTCCTGTACTATTCATCACATTCACAGAACTCCACAGCTTCATCTGCACTCAACGGGACCGGGGTCCTGAGCAGCTTCTCATAGCCATAAAGGAAGCCATTCTCTACTCTTTCTTTCCTCCCCACCCCCATGGAAAGTACAGTATTTTATTATTTTTACCTGCTGTTTTTCCATGACATCCATCACGTTTCCATCAGTGAAGTACACTACGGTTTCCTGACAGTTGGTTTAGATGCTTGAAATTTCCTCTACAGGTTGAAGGCTTTATCTACTATTAGCTGACAACTGTTGAAGTTGATTGCAAATAAAAGAGTTGAGTTTTGGTAAACCAAAAAAACAAAGAAGCTGTATGTCCTGCTTAATTGATTTTGTGGGTGGATTTTTCTTAAATAGCTACGTCAGCTGTTTGAATGTAATGTTCTGTAAGAGCATCATCTGGCTGACTCACACGTGAAGATGCAATAACGCTAAAGATCCTCTTTTTGCACTTAGGGTCTGATTCCAGCCCATTGCAGTCAGTCCATTGATTTCAGTGAGGTGTGGATCAGGTCAAACTGACAACTCAGGGTTGTCGCGAATCACTTTAGGGTCCCAAAGTGTTCCAAGGCTACAACCTGTATCTAGCAAGTGTTGAAGTTTACATTAAACGTACGTACTTTTGGAACATGTGCCATAAATCCAAGTTAAATGTCCATGTTTGCACTAAGGATGTTCTTGATAAGACTGTACTTTTCAGCATCTTTAATGATAATCTAGATTATCTATGGAATTTTTGAGGAAGAAAAAGAATATTGAACATTCTTAATTTAATTTTGTGTTTCTTTGTCTAGCTTTGCTTTTGTAGTACATAGGTACAGGTGGTTTGACTTCTGAACAGATGTGTACAAAAGAGCATCTGACTATGTTGAAAACAGGGTTAATAGTATGCATGTGGTAGTGAATTTGCTCTCTCCCGTCTAAATGAAATGTTTTCTACTCTGGACAAATGTGGGACCTTTATGATCTGACTTTGATTTGTGACCCGTGAATTCTTAGCTGGAGTACCAAGTTGTTACATTAAGACATACTGGAGGTTTTTTTGGGGGTCACCATTCTTATACAGAGGAATTGTCGAACTACTTCACGGCTGTCGTTGCCTGGTAGGTTCCTACCACCCTGCCCTACAGCTGTGGGCATTTCCCCAATTTGGGTGGTCCGGATTGTGGGTGACCCTCCTGTATCGCCAAAAACGTGACCAGCTGAGTTTGAACTGAGCATCACTGCAAGTCCTAGAGAGCTCCCAGTATTGTTCAGTCACTGGAAATCGTAACAGAAAGGTTTTAAGTCACTGAAGGATATTTCCGTCTATGTTAAAATTGGTCACGATGCATTTGTTAGGTGGAAAAAATAGGATTCTCTTATGTTACTGTTGGGGCTGTTTATAGTGGCAACAATTCTTGTGGTAACAGTACACATTTTGAGGTACAAATGTAAATATTTGTCTCGAACATAGCACACGTTGCATATTCAAATGGTTTTAATCTTTTTTGTCTTCCATGGTTTCAAATCTAAGCTTTTATTAATTTATGAGATTGATTAGTTCTGCAAATCTGAATGTACAGTCTTAGGTTTTTAACATTTGAAACTTTAAACACTCCACGTTATGTTACCTTAAGTATGCTGTTCAGCTAGGCTCTTCGTGTTCATGGTCTTATAAATTACAGTGGAGAATTTTCTCTGACTGCAAGTTTAAATGAGCTATATTGTATATGTACCTGTAAAAAAAAATTGTGTTAAATCTATATTTAAAGATTAAAAAGTTGTTAAATAAACCCCCATGAGACTGCAGTTCTGTCCAAAGACATCTCTGCGATAGCGCTGAAAAACTTTGTTCGGCTGTTTGCGTTGGCTCTGAGCAAGCTCTGCCTTGCTATGGGCATCGGGGTATCCCGTGCTTTCTGCTCCCGGGGCAAATCTTCCTGGGGCCCCGAGGGAGGAGGTTTGAGCACTGGGGGCCGGTCCCTCGCCCGCCCCGCGTCTCCCTGCCACGGGACACATCAGCCTCCTCTGCTCTCCTCTCCTCTGCTGCGAGGCCGGGAGCGTGATGGCAGCGCACCGCAAGGCCCGTGCCCCGGCACCTCCCGGGCCGGCGGACAGCAAGCTCCTGCTGAGGGCACCGCAGTCACCGCCAGCACCAGCAGCATCGCGCGGATGCAGCTTCTGACGTGACTCCTGCAAGGACCGGGACAGGTAACGAGCACTAAACAATCCTCTTTGTAATCCTAACAAGGATTACAGCAGCAATCCCGCTGGCTGTCAGCAGGGGCGGTGGGTTAATGAAGGCAGTCAGGTGTAATTAAAAAGGCTTTTTATTTTCTTATTACCCCATTTACACTGGATTCTCTCAACTTCTGTCTTCCAAGCACAAAAATTAGTCCATTTAGAAATGTTTATTAAAATGCAACGATTTTCTAGAAAAACACACGCGCATTGCTATGGTGCCTCCTCAGCTAACCAGTCCATCTCCTAACGAGGTTTACTTTGGCATTGCTTAAGTAAGCTTTGTGGTTTCTTTTATCCACTTAATGTACTTGGAGACCCTGGTGTAGATGCCGTATTTGCCGGGCTTTGCACATTCCTCCCCCCAGCTGGTCACTCCGGTCAGGAACCAGGTCCCCTCGATTTCCGTGGCGTAGGGCCAGCCGCTGTAGCCCCCGCAGG